CCCCGAGTCCCCATGACAGGATTTGTTTGCCACCACCACCGAGTCCTCGGAGGCGCAGCTGCAGCGAGGAGGCATCAGAGACATCCAGCAACCGAAACCGCTCCCGCCAGCAACGTCGGCCCCAAAATCCACACCTGCGGTCCAGAAGTCGACGTCACGGGAGCCATGTGAGAACACCAAGGGCTGGGAGCTGCACCGCCACCCAGGAAGCATCAGAGACATCCCGCAGCCGAAACCGCTCCCGCCAGCAACGTCGGCCGCAAAATCCACGCCTTCGGTCCAGAAGTCGCCGTGACAGGAGCCATGTCCCAACACCAAGTACTGGGAGGCGCAGGCCCAGCCAGGAAGAATCGGGGACATCCCGCAGGCGAAATAGCTCCCGCCGCCAAAGTCGGACCTCAAATACATCTGGTCGGTCCAGAAGTCCCCTTGACAGGAACTGCACGCCAGCACCGAGTGCTGGCAGGCGAAACTCAAGGGAGACACCTGCCAGGACTTCCCAAAGACAACAGCACTCCCGCCAGCAGCGTCGGATCTCAGATTCATCCAGCAGATCCAGAAGTCGCCGTGATGGGAGGCGTGATAGAGCACCCAGTGCTGGGAGCCCCGCTCACCGCTCAGACGGTGAGACAGGGACTCCCCACTGATGCGTTACATGTCAGAGAGGAAGGAGGAGGCCCCCGAAGGGAGAGAGCCAGGTGAGAGCAAAGTGCCCCTCCCTCAGCCTGGCAGAGGGGCTGTCAGGGTGGGCAGTACAGGTGCCATGCCCGGGGCCATTGTCTCTCTCCCCTCCAGCATGACTGCTCTGTCAGCGATCAGAGGCTGACCCGGAGATCTGCGGGGAAAATCTCCAGATAAATGGGCTCTGTGCCGACGAGTTCTGCCCGGTGAGTTGCTTCATGAGCTCCCTCCATGTTTTGACAGGCAGTCCCTGCCACTCTCTCCTCATCAGTACGTGTCCTTTTTTTCTACAGTTTTTTGCCAGCCACCTTCCTCTGCACAATGATGATCCAGTAGGATTCCAGGGCTTTCTCCCAAGGGATATCCTAGATGTAGTCTCCCAGGAAGCACAGAAGGTGAGAGCCTGACAAGAGCAGGGAGATTTGTGCCAGGCGAGGTTTGCTGGAGCTTAGCCCAGACCCCAAGCAAGAAAGCCCAGCCCTTCCAACCAGCTCTGGGACAAGGAGGAGGCCCTGAGGCTGCTGCTGATGGGGCTGCTCTGCTCTTTCCAGAGCTGCTGCATCTGTGGCCAGAGCGGGGCCACCATCGCCTGCTGGGATGGCACAGCGGGAAGAGCAGGGACACCCTGCACCTGCCCGATGCCAGGGCAGAGGGAGCTCATCACTTTTCCTTTTCCTATCAGACCACCATCATGGAGAACCATACTGCATTCAAGGAGCTGGGAGACAGACACAGGCGCTGTGATGCCAGTGAGTGCCTTTTTCCAGGAGGCAGGCAGGAGGCAGAGGAGGAGGGGTAAGTTGCCAAAGCTGCACCCCAGGGCTCTGCAGGGCTTGAAGCACAAGGACCCAGGAGAAGAGCTCAGCCAGATAATCCCATGCTTTGGACACTTTTTCCTCACTTCCATGAACCCGTTTGCTTCCCCAGGCCCTGGGAACTGCTCCTGTGCTCCTCCTGTGCTGCCGAGGGCACCCCCAGGCACTGCTCTGGCCTGAGGGACATCATAACCAGCTGGGAATGTGATGGCTGTGCAGTCCTGGGCACAGGTAAAAGGCAAAGCACCCTGATGACCCTGGGCCTGGTGCCCCTGGGCCTGGAAAGGGGTGTCCAGGGTTGGCTTGGCAGAGCCTGTCTGCTCCAGGAGGACTGGAGACACTGCTCTGGCCGATCTTGACCCAGGCCTGGAGCAGCCTTGACCCTCCTGCTTCCCCTTACAGTGTCCAGTTAAGACCCAGAGCTTTTGCTCTCATGAAGGACTCTTCTGACAACACCAAGGAATACGAGACCATCAACCCCACTACGAGCAAACTCCATACAAACTGACAGGCAAATCCCTCTCACAAAAGACGAGCAGCTCCAGCCCTGACAGTCAGGTAACATCGGGGTCATCCCACAGCTGCTTCCCAGCAACTGAGGACAGCAGCTGCTCCAGCAGTTGGAGTCCCGACTGCAGGCAAAACCGCTCCCACCAGCAGTGTCATACCCCAAATTCATCCAGCAGATCCTGAAGTCACCGTGACAGGAGCCGTGTTAGAGCACCCAGTGCTGGGAGCTCCACTCACCAGTGGGACGGTGAGACAGGGACCCACCGCTGACACGTCCCACGTCAGACAGGGAGGAGGAGCACCCGAAGGGAGGGAGCCAGGTGAGAGCAAAGTGCCCCTCCCTCAGCCTGGCAGAGGGGCTGTCAGGGCGGCCAGCATGGGGCCAGGAGCAGTGGCACGGGGAGGCAGGAGCTGTCCAGGCATCCCGGGGCTGGGACCCTCCTTTCCTCAGCAAACAGGGCCCAGCTGGGGCAGGGGACACCTGCTGGGACACCCGTCAATGTCCCGTCCTCCCCAAGGCCTCCAACCCTGCCCTTCAGCCAGCCAGGCAGGGACAGAGCAGCCCTTGGGGTCAATCCTGCAGGGAAGCTGCCCCAGCCTGGCAGAGGTGCCATGGTCTCTCTCCCCTCCAGCATGCCAGCTGTGTGGACGATCAGAGGCTGACCCAGATGTGTGGAGAAAAAATCCAGATAAATGGGCTCTGTTTCCACGAGTTCTGCCGGGTGAGTTGCTTCATGTTTTGACAGGCAGTCCCTGCCACTCTCTCCTCATCAGTACGTGTCCTTTTTTCTACAGGTTTTTGCCAGCCACCTTCCTCTGCACAATGATGATCCAGTAGGATTCCAGGGCTTTCTCCCAAGGGATATCCAAGATGTAGTCTCCCGGGAAGCACAGAAGGTGAGAGCCTGAGAGGAGCAGGGAGATTTGTGCCAGGTGAGGTTTGCTGGAGCTTAGCCCAGACCCCAAGCAAGAAAGCCCAGCCCTTCCAACCAGCTCTGGGACAAGGAGGAGGCCCTGAGGCTGCTGCTGATGGGGCTGCTCTGATCTTTCCAGAGCTGCTGCATCTGTGGCCAGAACGGGGCCACCATCTCCTGCTGGGAAACAGATTGTGACCTGAGCTTCCACCTGCCCTGTGCCAAGCAGGGAGGCTGTGTCACCCAGTTCATTCCACCATACAGGTACCTCCTGTCCCCTCCTTGCCACCACCAGGGAAGAGCCCAGCACTTCTCAGCTCACCCACCCCTTTTCCCCCCAGCTCCTACTGCCCCGCACACAGCCCAGAGCAGGCAGTGGAGGCGACTCCAGAGCCGGGCGCAAACAGAGACATCCTGCAAGCGAAACCACTTCTGGCAGCAATATCAGAGCCCCAATACACAGAGCCAGTCCAGAAGTCATCGTGACAGGAGCCACGTGAGATCACCAAGGGCTGGGAGGTGCAACAGCGGCCAGGAAGAATCGAGGACATCCCAAAGGCAAAACCAGCAATGTCAGACTCCAAATTAATGCAGCCAATCTAGAAGTTGCCGTGACAGGAGCCGTGTGGCCGCCCCAAGTGCTGGGAGATGCACCCCCATCCAGGAAGCATCAAGAACATCACAGACGTGAAACCGGTTCTGTCAGCAACTTATCAAATCCCTTCAATAAATGTATAGGACTGCTTTTTAAAATATTTTTGTGTATTTGCAAAATTATGCAAATGGCACTTTCGATGTCGCAGTGTTTAGTAGATTGTTTCATCCTAATGTTTCACCTGACACATTGGAGGCTATTGCAAAGCCCAAGGCTCAGTAGTATCTTTGTTTAGGTTTCCCTTTCCTCCCCCTTGGCTTTTGGCACAGCTTTCCTTTCCTTCCTATTCTATGGTTTCCCCTTGGTGTTGCAAGGGAGAGGTTTGGAATGTTTTGCAATCCAGCGGTGCCACCGCCTCGATGCACTGAAGGCAGGGAAGCAGTGGCGGGGTGTTGGCAGCCCCGTCCTGTCCCTGCTGCCGGCGGCCCGGGGGCAGGAGCGCCCCGGCGGTGCCATGGCGGGTTCCCCTCAGGTGTGGGCAGCCGCAGCCCGGCTGTGCGGGGCGGCCCCGGCGGTGCCATGGCGGGTTCCCCTCAGGTGTGGGCAGCCGCAGCCCGGCTGTGCGGGGCGGCCCCGGCGGTGCCATGGCGGGTTCCCCTCAGGGCGGCCCCGCTGCCCGCGCACAGCGGTGTTGCCGGGGCAGCCCGGGAGACAGGGGAAAGGTGGGTGGAACTCTCGGGTCTCTGAGGGAAAGGGCCAATGGTAGCTCTCCCTGCACTGTGGCAGGCTGTGACCAATCAGCGGCAGAGGAGCGGGAAAACTGGGGAGACAGGGTAACAAACAACTTTTGGAGGGAAAATCTGAGGGAGAAAGGGAGACAATATGGAGGTATGACAGAATTCATAAAATTTAACAATAAACTGGGGTGCATAAGAATTCATAAACACACAACAATAAACTGGGGAAAAACTGTCAGTCCGGTGGGTGAATTATTCAGTAAGCAACAGGTCCATTTAGATCCCATTTATGTTTTTCCAGGCAGCATATCTCTCCCATTCTGTCTTCTCATCCACCACAGTCGGCTTTCCTGCAGTCCTCAGGCACCTCTGCTGGGGAATCAGCGTCCCTGAGGTGCTGGCAGTGTTCCCTGGGCCAGGGGCAGGAGCAGAGATCTGCCTTGGCCAGGGCCGGAGCCCTGGAGTGGCACTGCCTGAACAGCACTTTTTGTGCAACAGTGGCTGCCCAAGAGTCCTCGGTGGCTGCCCCAGGGCCTGGCATTTGACCCTGCGCTTGCTGCAGCAGCAGCCGCCCCGGCTCTGTGCTTACCGAGGGCTCGGGACCCGCCTCGGAACCTCGGTTACCAAGGGGCTGCCTCACAGTGGGGGGGTGGGCTGGGGCCATCCCTGCCCGTATTTCAGGTGCATGATGCTGATGTCACAGTGGCCACTGTGACCCGTGAGGCCAAGGGCACAAAAACGGGACTCTGGGCTCAGGCCCAGTGTCAGTGTTACCTGATCACGAGAGGAGAAGGAAGAGGAGGGACAGCCCCCCTTTTGCAAACGCCTCTCGCTTCTTTTGCGCAGAGAGTGTAGGAGCACCTGGAGGAGACCTTGGTGTTCCTCAACCAGACGATAGAAAGAGACGGCAGAGAGAGACCGGGCTCACACAGGGCTGACCAGCGAGTCAGGGGGCTCTACGCCTCAGGGCTCTGGCCCTGTGTTGCAGACTCGTCTCACTTCTGCCTCAGACCCAGTGTAGGAGCACCTGGAGGAGACCTCGGTGTTCCTCAACCAGACGATAGAAAGAGACGGCAGAGAGAGACCGGGCTCACACAGGGCTGACGAGCGAGTCAGGGGGCTCTACGCCTCAGGGCTCTGGCCCTGTGTTGCAAACTCGTCTCACTTCTGCCTCAGAACCAGTGTAGGAGCACCTGGAGGAGACCTTGGTGTTCCAAGGAGAGAGACCCACCGCTGACAGTCACCATGTCAGACAGGGAGCAGGCGGCCCCCAGAGGGAGGGAGCCAGGTGAGAGCAAAGTGCCCCTCCCTCAGCCTGGCAGAGGGGCTGTCAGGGCGGGCAGTACAGGTGCCATGCCCGGGGCCATTGTCTCTCTCCCCTCCAGCATGCCTGCTGTGTCGGCAATCAGATGCTGACTCGGACATCTGCGGGGAAAAACTCTTCATACATGGGTTCTGTGCCCACGAGAACTGCCTGGTGAGTTGCTCTGTGGGCTCCCTCCACTTTTTGACAGGCAGTCCCTGCCACTCTCTGCTCATCAGTGAGTGGCATTTTCCTGCAGTTTTTTGCCAACAACTTTCCTGACCGCCCGGTTCATCAAGGAGGACTCTGGTGTCTTCACTCATGGGAGATCCGAGATGTAGTCTCCCAGGCGGCAGAGCAGGTGAGAGGCTGACTAGAGCAGGGAGATTTGTGCCAGGCGAGGTTTGCTGGAGCTTAGCTCAGACCCCAGGCAAGAAAACCCAGCCCTTCCAACCAGCTCTGGGACAAGGTGGAGGCCCTGAGGCTGCTGCTGATGGGGCTGCTCTGCTCTTTCCAGAGCTGCAGCATCTGTGGCCAAATCGGGGCCACCATTTACTGCTGTAGAAGACACTGTGATGTGAGCTTCCACCTGCCCTGTGCCAGGCAGGGAGGCTGTGTCACCCAGTTCTGCAGACCATTCAGGTACCTCCTGTCCCCTCCTTGCCACCACCAGGGAAGGGCCCAGCACTTCTCAGCTCACCCACCCCTTTTTCCCCCCAGGGCCTTCTGTGCTGCACACAGACCAGAGCAGGCAGTGGAGGCGACTCCAGAGCCGGGCACCGAATGCCTCATCTGCATGGAGCCTGTGGAGGACAGAAAGACCTTTAACACCCTGGTGTGCCCAGCCTGCAAAAGTGCCTGGTTCCACAGGGACTGCATCCAAGTAGGAGTGATTCTGTCACCTCTGGGGGCACAGCATGGGCTCAGCAGCACCAGGGCCTCACTCTGGCTGTTGTGTTTCTCCTGCAGGGACAGGCTCTGCATGCTGGTTATTTCTCCATCCAGTGCCCCCTCTGCAGAAATGATGACGCATTTCGCAAGGATCTGCTCACCATGGGGATCCGAATCCCCTTCAGGTTGGTGTCCTTCTGCCTGGCTCACAACACAGGGGGTGCAAGTGCTGTGCCGTGCCAGGGCCTGCCCCAGCAGTCCTGGCCCTGCCCTGTTCCGTGAGTCCCAGGTTCAGCTTCCTGCAGGAGCTGGAAATGGCACAGGGGGAAGAGCAGGGACACCCTGCACCTGCCCGATGCCGGGGCAGAGGGAGCTCATCAGTTTTCCTTTTCCATCAGACCACCAACATGGGAGGGCTTTAATGCATTTGATGAGCTGGGAGACAGACACAGGCGCTGTGATGCCAGTGAGTGCCTTTTTCCAGGAGGCAGGCAGGAGGCAGAGCGACAGGGGTAAGTTGCCAAAGCTACACCCTGGGGCTCTGCAGGGCTAGAAGCAGAAGGACCCAGGAGAAGAGCTCAGCCAGATACTCCCACGCTTTGGACACTTTGTCCTCACCTCCATGAACCTGATTGCTTTTCCAGGCCCTGGGAACTGCTCCTGTGCTCCTCCTGTGCTGCCGAGGGCACCCACAGACACTGCTCTGGCCTGAGGGACAGCAGATCCAGCTGGGAATGTGATGGCTGTGCTGGCCTGGGCACATGTAAGAGGCAAAGCACCCTGTTGACCCTGGGCCTGGTGCCCCTGGGCATGGCAGTGGGTGCTCAGGGTGGGTTTGGCGGAGCCTGTCTGCTCCAGGAGGGCTGGAGGCACTGCTCTGGCCTATCCTGCCCCAGGTCTGGAGTGGCCTTGACATTCCTGCTTCCCCTCACAGCCTCCCGAGTTGACTCCCGGCTTCCTGGTGTCAGCATGGCCAGGCAGTCAGGACTGGAGCCTTGTGATGGCTCCAGGGAACCCCAGACCACCAGCACCAACGCAGGCATCCTCGTGCTACCAGGGCTGTCTCCCAGTTCTGCACCACTGGAGACCATCAGCCCCAGCACCAGCGCCCAGGTGCCTGCCCCTGGATCTTCAACACCACAGACCAGCCACCGCCGTACCAACCGACAGACAACATGGGAGCAGTCTGTGCAAACTCCCTCACAGGAGACGAGCAGCTCCAGCCCTGAGAGTCAAGTAACATCGGGGTCATCCCACAGCACCTTCACAGAAACTGAGGACAGCAGCAGCTCCAGCAGTCGGGGGCCTGACCGCCGGCAAAACCACCCCCGCCGGCAACGTCGGGCCCAAAATCCACACTTTCGGTCCAGAAGTCCCCTGGACAGGACCCATGAGCCATCACCAAGTCCTGGGAGGCGCAGGCCCAGGCCGAGACCATCGGGGACATCCCGCAGGCGAAACCGCTCCCGCCTGCAACGTGAGACCCCAAATCCATCCGGCCGGTCCAGAAGTCGCCACGACAGGAGCCAGGTGAGAGCGCCCAGTGCTGGGAGGAGCAGCCGCAGCCGGGAGACATCAAGGACATCCCGAACACAAAATCGCTCCCGCCAACAACATCAGACCCCAAATCCATCTGGCCGGTCCAGAAGTCGCCGTGATAGAAACTGTGTGAGAGCACCAAGTGCTGGGAGCCGCATCCCCAGCCAGGAAGCATCAGGGACGTCCCGCAGGCGAAACCGCTCCCGCCGGCAACGTCAGACCCCAAATCCATCCGGCCGGTCCAGAAGTCCCCTTGACAGGAACTGCACGCCAGCACCGAGTGCTGGGAGGCGAAACTCAAGGGAGACAGCAGCCAGGACTTCCCAAAGGCAACAGCACTCCCGCCAGCAGCGGCGGACATGGAACTCATCCACCAGATCCAGAAGTCCCCACGACAGGAGCCGTGTTAGAGCACCCAGTACTGCCAGGCGCACTCACCGGTGGGACGGTGAGACACGGACCCACCGCTGACACGTCCCACGTCAGACAGGGAGGAGGAGGCCCGGAAGGGAGAGAGCCAGGTGAGAGCAAAGTGCCCCTCCCTCAGCCTGGCAGAGGGGCTGTCAGGGCGGGCAGTACAGGTGCCATGCCCGGGGCCATTGTCTCTCTCCCCTCCAGCATGACTGCTCTGTCAACAATCAGCGGCTGACCCGGACATCTGTGGGGAGAAAATGCAGAAACATGGGATCTGTTTCCACGTGTTCTGCCTGGTGAGTTGCTCTCTGGGCTCCCTCCATGTTTTGACAGGCAGTCCCTGCCACTCTCTGCTCATCAGTGAGTTACATTTTCCTGCAGTTTTTTACCAGCCACCTTCCTCTGCACAATGATGATCAAGTACAACTCCAGGGCTTTCTCCCAAGGGATATCCTACATGCAGTCAACCGAGCGGCACAGAAGGTGAGAGCCTGAGAAGAGCAGGGAGATTTGTGCCAGGTGAAGTTTGCTGGAGCTTAGCCCAGACCCCAAGCAAGAAAGCCCAGCCCTTCCAACCAGCTCTGGGACAAGGAGGAGGCCCTGAGGCTGCAGCTGATGGGGCTGCTCTGCTCTTTCCAGAGCTGCTGCATCTGTGGCCAGAGCGGGGCCACCATCGCCTGCTGGGATGGCACAGGGGGAAGAGCAGGGACACCCTGCACCTGCCCGATGCCAGGGCAGAGGTAGCTCATCAGTTTTCCTTTTCCCATCAGAGCACCATCATGGCAGGGCTTTAATGCATTTGCCCAGCTAGGAGACAGACACAGGCACTGCGATGCCAGTGAGTGCCTTTTTCCAGGAGGCAGGCAGGAGGCAGAGGAGGAGGGGTAAGTTGCCAAAGCTGCACCCCAGGGCTCTGCAGGGCTTGAAGCAGAAGGACCCAGGAGAAGAGCTCAGCCAGATAATCCCACGCTTTGGGGATGAACCTGTTTTCTTCCCCAGGCCCTGGGAACTGCTCCTGTGCTCCTGTGCTGCTGAGGTCACACTCAGGCACTGCTCTGGCCTGAGGGGCAGGGACCCACCGCTGACACGTCCCATGTCAGACAGGGAGGAGGAGCCCCCCGAAGTGAGGGAGCCAGGTGAGAGCAAAGTGCCCCTCCCTCAGCCTGGCAGAGGGGCTGTCGGGGCCAGGAGCAGTGGCACAGGGAGGCAGGAGCTGTCCAGGCATCCCGGGGCTGGGACCCTCCTTTCCTCAGCAAGCGGGGCCCAGCTGGGGCAGGGGACACCTGCTGGGACACTCGTGCCCACAATGTCCCATCCTCCCCAAGGCCTCCAGCCCTGCCCTTCAGCCAGCCAGGCAGGGACAGAGCAGCCCTTGGGGTCAATCCTGCAGGGAAGCTGCCCCAGCCCTGCAGAGGTGCCATGGTCTCTCTCCCCTCCAGCATGCCTGCTGTGTCAACAGAGGCTGACCCGGACATGTGTGGGGAAAATCTCCAGATAAATGGGTTGTGTGTCCACAAGTTCTGCCTGGTGAGTAGCTCCGTGAGCCCCCTCCATGTTTTGACAGGCAGTCCCTGCCACTCTCTGCTTATCAGTGCGTAACATTTTTCCTGCAGTATTTTGCTAGCCACCTCCTTCACCAAGCAGTTGATCGAGTAGGACTCAGTGTTTTCACCCCAAGGGATATCCTAGATGTAGTCTCCTGGGCGGCACAGAAGGTGAGAGCCTGACTAGGAGGCAGGAGCTGGAAATGGCACAGCGGGAAGAGCAGGGACACCCTGCACCTGCCCGATGCCAGGACAGAGGGAGCTCATCACTTTTCCTTTTCCTATCAGACCACCATCATGGAGAACCATACTGCATTCAATGAGCTGGGAGACAGACACAGGCACTGCGATGCCAGTGAGTGCCTTTTTCCAGGAGGCAGGCAGGAGGCAGAGGAGGAGGGGTAAGTTGCCAAAGCTGCACCCCAGGGCTCTGCAGGGCTTGAAGCACAAGGACCCAGGAGAAGAGCTCAGCCAGATAATCCCACGCTTTGGACACTTTGTCCTCACCTCCATGAACCCGTTTGCTTCCCCAGGCCCTGGGAACTGCTCCTGTGCTCCTCCTGTGCTGCCGAGGGCACCCCCAGGCACTGCTCTGGCCTGAGGGACATCATAACCAGCTGGGAATGTGATGGCTGTGCTGGCCTGGGCACAGGTAAAAGGCAAAGCAGCCTGCTGACCCTGGGCCTGGTGCCCCAGGGCCTGGAAAGGGGTGTCCAGGGTTGGCTTGGCAGAGCCTGTCTGCTCCAGGAGGACTGGAGACACTGCTCTGGCCTATCTTATCCAGGGCCTGGAGCAGCCTTGACCTCCTGCTCCCCTTACAGCATCCAGTTAAGACCCAGAGCTTTTGCTCTCATGAAGGACTCTTCTGACAACTTCAAGGAATACGAGACCATCACCCTCAGTACAAGCAAACTCCATACAAACTGACAGGCAAATCCCTCTCACAAAAGACGAGCAGCTCCAGCCCTGACAGTCAGGTAACATCGGGGTCATCCCACAGCTGCTTCCCAGCAACTGAGGACAGCAGCTGCTCCAGCAGTTGGAGTCCTGACTGCAGGTGAAACCGCTCCCACCAGCACTGTCATACCCCAAATTCATCCAGCAGATCCTGAAGTCACCGTGACAGGAGCCGTGTTAGAGCACCAGTGCTGGGAGCTCCACTCACCAGTGGGACGGTGAGACAGGGACCCACCGCTGACACGTCCCACGTCAGACAGGGAGGAGGAGCACCCGAAGGGAGGGAGCCAGGTGAGAGCAAAGTGCCCCTCCCTCAGCCTGGCAGAGGGGCTGTTGGTGCCAGGAGCAGTGGCACGGGGAGGCAGGAGCTGTCCAGGCATCCCGGGGCTGGGACCCTCCTTTCCTCAGCAAACAGGGCCCAGCTGGGGCAGGGGACACCTGCTGGGACACCCGTGCCCACAATGTCCCGTCCTCCCCAAGGCCTCCAGCCCTGCCCTTCAGCCAGCCAGGCAGGGACAGAGCAGCCCTTGGGGTCAATCCTGCAGGGAAGCTGCCCCAGCCCTGCAGAGGTGCCATGGTCTCTCTCCCCTCCAGCATGCCAGCTGTGTGGACGATCAGAGGCTGACCCAGATGTGTGGAGAAAAAATCCAGATAAATGGGCTCTGTTTCCACGAGTTCTGCCGGGTGAGTTGCTTCATGTTTTGACAGGCAGTCCCTGCCACTCTCTCCTCATCAGTACGTGTTGTTTTTTCTACAGGTTTTTGCCAGCCACCTTCATCTGCACAATGATGATCAAGTAGGATTCCAGGGCTTTCTCCCAAGGGATATCCAAGATGTAGTCTCCCGGGAAGCACAGAAGGTGAGAGCCTGAGAAGAGCAGGGAGATTTGTGCCAGGCGGGGTTTGCTGGAGCTTAGCCCAGACCCCAAGCAAGAAAGCCCAGCCCTTCCAACCAGCTCTGGGACAAGGAGGAGGCCCTGAGGCTGCTGCTGAAGGGGCTGCTCTGCTCTTTCCAGAGCTGCTGCATCTGTGGCCAGAACGGGGCCACCATCGCCTGCTGGGAAACAGTCTGTGACCTGAGCTTCCACCTGCCCTGTGCCAAGCAGGGAGGCTGTGTCACCCAGTTCATTCCACCGTACAGGTACCTCCTGTCCCCTCCTTGCCACCACCAGGGAAGGGCCCAGCACTTCTCAGCTCACCCACCCCTTTTCCCCCCAGCTCCTACTGCCCCGCACACAGCCCAGAGCAGGCAGTGGAGGCGACTCCAGAGCCGGGCGCAAACAGAGACATCCTGCAAGCGAAACCACTTCTGGCAGCAATATCAGAGCCCCAATACACAGAGCCAGTCCAGAAGTCATCGTGACAGGAGCCACGTGAGATCACCAAGGGCTGGGAGGTGCAACAGCGGCCAGGAAGAATCGAGGACATCCCAAAGGCAAAACCAGCAATGTCAGACTCCAAATTAATGCAGCCAATCTAGAAGTTGCCGTGACAGGAGCCGTGTGGCCGCCCCAAGTGCTGGGAGATGCACCCCCATCCAGGAAGCATGAAGAACATCACAGATGTGAAACTGGTTCTGTCAGCAACTTATCAAATCCCTTCAATAAATGTATAGGACTGCTTTTTAAAATATTTTTGTGTATTTGCAAAATTATGCAAATGGCACTTTCGATGTCGCAGTGTTTAGTAGATTGTTTCATCCTAATGTTTCACCTGACACATTGGAGGCTATTGCAAAGCCCAAGGCTTAGTAGTATCTTTGTGCAGGTTTCCCTTTCCTCCCCCTTGGCTTTTGGCACAGCTTTCCTTTCCTTCCTATTCTATGGTTTCCCCTTGGTGTTGCAAGGGAGAGGTTTGGAATGTTTTGCAATCCAGCGGTGCCACGGCCTCGATGCACTGAAGGCAGGGAAGCAGTGGCGGGGTGTTGGCAGCCCCGTCCTGTCCCTGCTGCCGGCGGCCCGGGGGCAGGAGCGCCCCGGCGGTGCCATGGCGGGTTCCCCTCAGGTGCGGGCAGCCGCAGCCCGGCTGTGCGGGGCGGCCCCGGCGGTGCCATGGCGGGTTCCCCTCAGGGCGGCCCCGCTGCCCGCGCACGGCGGTATTGCCGGGGCAGCCTCGTCCCGCAGGCACATCTGTGCGCTGTGACCCAGCGGCGACCGCTTCCCGCTCTAAGAGCCCGCAGGAATGGCTGCCTGGCTCCAAACTGCCCGCCGGGAGCGCGCTGGGATCGCAGGGGGAGCTCTGCCCGGGGCAGCCCCCGCACTCAGTCGCCCCGAGCCTTCCCGCCCTCCCGCACACGGCGGCGCTTTGGGAACGGCCGCGGTCGGCGCTGGAGTGGCGGCGCTCGGGCTCGAGGGAGCGCCGCGAGCCCGGGAAAGCGTCGGGAACATTCCGGCACCGAGGGGAGCGCGGGCGCGGAACTTGGGCACCCAGACGATCGCGGGTCCCAGCGGGGGAGGGTCCCGAGGGTCCCGCCCAATGGAGCGCAGGAGAGGACGGCGAGCGGCGAGTGCCGCGGGTTGGGCTTCGCTGCCCTGGAGGCAAAAACTGCACCGTGCGCCATCCAGAGGTTATCCATCGACCTTTCCCCAAACCTGCCGAGTGGGACAGGACATCAGAGCTGCGCCTGCCCAGAGCCCAGGAAAGAAACCCCATCCCTTCCAACCAGCTCCAGGAAAAACATCCGGCTCCCAGCAGCTCCACAGAGGCTCCAGCACAGGAGCCTTGTCCCCCAGACACATCTGTGGGCCGAGCCCTACCCAGAGCCCTGGGGCTGCCTGTGGAAGCCCCGAGGCTGCGGGATTTGCACGGGGTGGCCTTTAAAGGGCTCTCCCAACCCCAAGCCTTCTACCCTTCTACGGCTCTAATCTGCGCTGCAGTGTGGTGCTTACACAAGGGGCAGCTATGCCCTGTGCTGGTTTAAAATCTGCCTGCCAGCCTGAATTCAGGCAGCGAGACAAAGACCCAGCTACCGGATTTTTTTGCTATTCACTAGGTGCCTCTGCGCCCAAAGCTTCAGCCTTCCCAGGACTCGCTGGACAGCAACAGAGCCTTGTGGTGCCTCAGCCACTCCTCCCAGTCCATATCATCAGCAAACATGCTGAGGGTGCTCTCCGTCCCTTCTGCCAGGTCACCGGGCAACCGGTCAAAGGAGGCTGGCCCCAGCACTGAGCGCCGCGCTCACAACCCTCTGAGCTCTGCCATTCAGCCAGGTCTCAACCCCCTCAGTGTCCACTCATCTAAGCCACACTTGCTGAGCTGCCTGGGAGGGTGTTCTGGGAGGCAGGGTGAAAAGCCTTGCTGAAGTCATGGCAGACAACAGGCACTGCTCTCCCCTCATGTACCCAGCCAGTCACTCCAGCAGAGAAGGCTAGGAGACTGGTCAAGCATGATTTCCCCTTCCTTTTATTCCACAGGCTTAGAGATGACATGCAGCATGAGCTGTTCTGTCCCCTTTCTGGGGATGGAGGTGACACTGATGGGCCCATCATTTCCTGGGTCCATCTTGCTGCCCTTTTTGAAGACTGGAGTGATGTCGGCTGCCACAGTCCGTGGGGGGAAGGGAAATGGGACCGGGCACTGCAATAAGGGTTCTCGGCACAGTTGAGGTCTCGTGCAGCAATGCCACTTTATTTAGGGGAAACAAGGGTTTAAATAAAGTAGGTTTGAGGGGTGGATTCTAACCTGGGGAGGCGCAAGAGATTGACAACTCAGGGAAAAGTGTGATAGGGAGACAGGGGAAAGGTGGGTGGAACTCTCGGGTCTCTGAGGGAAAGGGCCAATGGTAGCTCTCCCTGCACTGTGGCAGGCTGTGACCAATCAGCGGCAGAGGAGCGGGAAAACTGGGGAGACAGGGTAACAAACAACTTTTGGAGGGAAAATCTGAGGGAGAAAGGGAGACAATATGGAGGTATGCCAGAATTCATAAAATTTAACAATAAACTGGGGTGCATAAGAATTCATAAACACACAACAATAAACTGGGGAAAAACTGTCAGTCCGGTGGGTGAATTATTCAGTAAGCAACAGGTCCATTTAGATCCCATTTATGTTTTACCAGGCAGCATATCTCTCCCATTCTGTCTTCTCATCCACCACAGTCGGCTTTCCTGCAGTCCTCAGGCACCTCTGCTGGGGAATCAGCGTCCCTGATGTGCTGGCAGTGTTCCCTGGGCCAGGGGCAGGAGCAGAGATCCGCCTTGGCCAGGGCCGGAGCCCTGGAGTGGCACTGCCTGAACAGCACTTTTTGTGCAACAGTGGCTGCCCAAGAGTCCTCGGTGGCTGCCCCAGGGCCTGGCATTTGACCCTGCGCTTGCTGCAGCAGCAGCCGCCCCGGCTCTGTGCTTACCGAGGGCTCGGGACCCGCCTCGGAACCTCGGTTACCAAGGGGCTGCCTCACAGTGGGGGGGTGGGCTGGGGCCATCCCTGCCCCTATTTCAGGTGCATGATGCTGATGTCACAGTGGCCACTGTGACTCGTGAGGCCAAGGGCACAAAATGGGACTCTGGGCTCAGGCCCAGTGTCAGTGTTACCTGATCACGAGAGGAGAAGGAAGAGGAGGGACAGCCCCCCTTTTGCAAACGCCTCTCGCTTCTTTTGCGCAGAGAGTGTAGGAGCACCTGGAGGAGACCTTGGTGTTCCTCAACCAGACGATAGAAAGAGACGGCAGAGAGAGACCGGGCTCACACAGGGCTGACCAGCGAGTCAGGGGGCTCTACGCCTCAGGGCTCTGGCCCTGTGTTGCAGACTCGTCTCACTTCTGCCTCAGAACCAGTGGAGGAGCACCTGGAGGAGACCTCGGTGTTTTAAGGACAGAGACCCACCGCTGACAGTCATCATGTCACACAGGGAGCAGGCGGCCCCCAGAGGGAGGGAGCCAGGTGAGAGCAAAGTGCCCTTCCCTCAGCCTGGCAGAGGGGCTGTCAGGGCGGGCAGTACAGGTGCCATGCCCGGGGCCATTGTCTCTCTCCCCTCCAGCATGCCTGCTGTGTCGGCAATCAGATGCTGACTCGGACATCTGCGGGGAAAAACTCTTCATACATGGGTTCTGTGCCCACGAGAACTGCCTGGTGAGTTACTCTGTGGGCTCCCTCCACTTTTTGACAGGCAGTCCCTGCCACTCTCTGCTCATCAGTGTGTGGCATTTTCCTGCAGTTTTTTGCCAACAACTTTCCTGACCGCCCGGTTCATCGAGGAGGACTCTGGTGTCTTCACTCATGGGAGATCCGAGATGTAGTCTCCCAGGCGGCAGAGCAGGTGAGAGGCTGACTAGAGCAGGGAGATTTGTGCCAGGCGAGGTTTGCTGGAGCTTAGCTCAGACCCCAGGCAAGAAAACCCAGCCCTTCCAACCAGCTCTGGGACAAGGTGGAGGCCCTGAGGCTGCTGCTGATGGGGCTGCTCTGCTCTTTCCAGAGCTGCAGCATCTGTGGCCAAATCGGGGCCACCATTTACTGCTGTAGAAGACACTGTGATGTGAGCTTCCACCTGCCCTGTGCCAAGCAGGGAGGCTGTGTCACCCAGTTCTGCAGACCATTCAGGTACCTCCTGTCCCTTCCTTGCCACCACCAGGGAAGGGCCCAGCACTTCTCAGCTCACCCAACCCTTTTTCCCCCCAGGGCCTTCTGTGCAGCACACAGACCAGAGCAGGCAGTGGAGGCGACTCCAGAGCCGGGCACCGAATGCCTCATCTGCATGGAGCCTGTGGAGGACAGAAAGACCTTTAACACCCTGGTGTGCCCAGCCTGCAAAAGTGCCTGGTTCCACAGGGACTGCATCCAAGTAGGAGTGATTCTGTCACCTCTGGGGGCACAGCATGGGCTCAGCAGCACCAGGGCCTCACTCTGGCTGTTGTGTTTCTCCTGCAGGGACAGGCTCTGCATGCTGGTTATTTCTCCATCCAGTGCCCCCTCTGCAGAAATGATGACGCATTTCGCAAGGATCTGCTCACCATGGGGATCCGAATCCCCTTCAGGTTGGTGTCCTTCTGCCTGGCTCACAACACAGGGGGTGCAAGTGCTGTGCCGTGCCAGGGCCTGCCCCAGCAGTCCTGGCCCTGCCCTGTTCCGTGAGTCCCAGGTTCAGCTTCCTGCAGGAGCTGGAAATGGCACAGGGGGAAGAGCAGGGACACCCTGCACCTGCCCGATGCCGGGGCAGAGGGAGCTCATCAGTTGTCCTTTTCCATCAGACCACCAACATGGGAGGACTTTAATGCATTTGATGAGCTGGGAGACAGACACAGGCGCTGTGATGCCAGTGAGTGCCTTTTTCCAGGAGGCAGGCAGGAGGCAGAGCGACAGGGGTAAGTTGCCAAAGCTGCATCCTGGGGCTCTGCAGGGCTAGAAGCAGAAGGACCCAGGAGAAGAGCTCAGCCAGATACTCCCACGCTTTGGACACTTTGTCCTCACCTCCATGAACCCGTTTGCTTCCCCAGGCCCTGGGAACTGCTCCTGTGCTCCTCCTGTGCTGCCGAGGGCACCCACAGACACTGCTCTGGCCTGAGGGACAGCAGATCCAGCTGGGAATGTGATGGCTGTGCTGGCCTGGGCACATGTAAGAGGCAAAGCACCCTGTTGACCCTGGGCCTGGTGCCCCTGGGCATGGCAGTGGATGCTCAGGGTGGGTTTGGCGGAGCCTGTCTGCTCCAGGAGGGCTGGAGGCACTGCTCTGGCCTATCCTGCCCCAGGTCTGGAGAGGCCTTGACATTCCTGCTTCCCCTCACAGCCTCCCGAGTTGACTCCCGGCTTCCTGGTGTCAGCATGGCCAGGCAGTCAGTACTGGAGCCTTGTAATGGCTCCAGGGAACCCCAGACCACCAGCACCAACGCAGGCATCCTCGTGCTACCAGGGCTGTCTCCCAGTTCTGCACCACTGGAGACCATCAGCCCCAGCACTAGCGCCCAGGTGCCTGCCCCTGGATCTTCAACACCACAGACCAGCCACCGCCGTACCAACCGACAGACAACATGGGAGCAGTCTGTGCAAACTCCCTCACAGGAGACGAGCAGCTCCAGCCCTGAGAGTCAAGTAACATCGGGGTCATCCCACAGCACCTTCACAGAAACTGAGGACAGCAGCAGCTCCAGCAGTCGGGGGCCTGACCGCCGGCAAAACCACCCCCGCCGGCAACGTCGGGCCCAAAATCCACACTTTCGGTCCAGAAGTCCCCTGGACAGGACCCATGAGCCATCACCAAGTCCTGGGAGGCGCAGGCCCAGGCCGAGACCATCAGGGACATCCCGCAGGCGAAACCGCTCCCGCCTGCAACGTGAGACCCCAAATCCATCCGGCCGGTCCAGAAGTCGCCACGACAGGAGCCAGGTGAGAGCGCCCAGTGCTGGGAGGAGCAGCCGCAGCCGGGAGACATCAAGGACATCCCGAACACAAAATCGCTCCCGCCAACAACATCAGACCCCAAATCCATCTGGCCGGTCCAGAAGTCGCCGTGATAGAAACTGTGTGAGAGCACCAAGTGCTGGGAGCCGCATCCCCAGCCAGGAAGCATCAGGGACGTCCCGCAGGCGAAACCGCTCCCGCCGGCAACGTCAGACCCCAAATCCATCCGGCCGGTCCAGAAGTCCCCTTGACAGGAACTGCACGCCAGCACCGAGTGCTGGCAGGCGAAACTCAAGGGAGACAGCAGCCAGGACTTCCCAAAGGCAACAGCACTCCCGCCAGCAGCGTCGGACATGGAACTCATCCACCAGATCCAGAAGTCCCCACGACAGGAGCCGTGTTAGAGCACCCAGTACTGCCAGGCGCACTCACCGGTGGGACGGTGAGACAGGGACCCACCACTGACACGTCCCACGTCAGACAGGGAGGAGGAGGCCCGGAAGGGAGAGAGCCAGGTGAGAGCAAAGTGCCCCTCCCTCAGCCTGGCAGAGGGGCTGTCGGGGTGGGCAGTACAGGTGCCATGCCCGGGCCATTGTCTCTCTCCCCTCCAGCATGACTGCTCTGTCAACAACCAGAGGCTGACCCGGACATCTGTGGGGAGAAAATGCAGAAACATGGGATCTGTTCCCACGTGTTCTGCCTGGTGAGTTGCTCTCTGGGCTCCCTCCATGTTTTGACAGGCAGTCCCTGCCACTCTCTGCTCATCAGTGAGTTTCATTTTCCTGCAGTTTTTTACCAGCCACCTTCCTCTGTACAATGATGATCAAGTACAACTCCAGGGCTTTCTCCCAAGGGATATCCTACATGCAGTCAACCGAGCGGCACAGAAGGTGAGAGCCTGAGAAGAGCAGGGAGATTTGTGCCAGGTGAAGTTTGCTGGAGCTTAGCCCAGACCCCAAGCAAGAAAGCCCAGCCCTTCCAACCAGCTCTGGGACAAGGAGGAGGCCCTGAGGCTGCAGCTGATGGGGCTGCTCTGCTCTTTCCAGAGCTGCTGCATCTGTGGCCAGAGCGGGGCCACCATCGCCTGCTGGGATGGCACAGGGGGAAGAGCAGGGACACCCTGCACCTGCCCGATGCCAGGGCAGAGGTAGCTCATCAGTTTTCCTTTTCCCATCAGAGCACCATCATGGCAGGGCTTTAATGCATTTGCCCAGCTAGGAGACAGACACAGACACTGCGATGCCAGTGAGTGCCTTTTTCCAGGAGGCAGGCAGGAGGCAGAGGAGGAGGGGTAAGTTGCCAAAGGTGCACCCCAGGGCTCTGCAGGGCTTGAAGCACAAGGACCCAGGAGAAGAGCTCAGCACCTCCATGAACCCGTTTGCTTCCCCAGGCCCTGGGAACTGCTCCTGTGCTCCTCCTGTGCTGCCGAGGGCACCCCCAGGCACTGCTCTGGCCTGAGGGACATCATAACCAGCTGGGAATGTGATGGCTGTGCAGTCCTGGGCACAGGTAAAAGGCAAAGCACCCTGATGACCCTGGGCCTGGTGCCCCTGGGCCTGGAAAGGGGTGTCCAGGGTTGGCTTGGCAGAGCCTGTCTGCTCCAGGAGGACTGGAGACACTGCTCTGGCCTATCTTATCCAGGGCCTGGAGCAGCCTTGACCCTCCTGCTCCCCTTACAGCGTCCAGTTAAGACCCAGAGCTTGTTGATCTCATGAAGGACTCTTCTGACAACTTCAAGGAATACGAGACCATCACCCTCAGTACAAGCAAACTCCATACAAACTGACAGGCAACATCGGAGGAGACTCTGAAATCCCTCTCACAAAAGACAAGCAGCTCCAGCCCTGACAGTCAGGTAACATCGGGGTCATCCCACAGCTGCTTCCCAGCAACTGAGGACAGCAGCTGCTCCAGCAGTCGGAGTCCTGACTGCAGGTGAAACTGCTCCCACCAGCACTGTCATACCCCAAATTCATCCAGCAGATCCTGAAGTCACCGTGACAGGAGCCGTGTTAGAGCACCCAGTGCTGGGAGCTCCACTCACCAGTGGGACGGTGAGACAGGGACCCACCGCTGACACGTCCCACGTCAGACAGGGAGGAGGAGCCCCCCGAAGGGAGGGAACCAGGTGAGAGCAAAGTGCCCCTCCCTCAGCCTGGCAGAGGGGCTGTTGGTGCCAGGAGCAGTGGCACGGGGAGGCAGGAGCTGTCCAGGCATCCCGGGGCTGGGACCCTCCTTTCCTCAGCAAGCAGGGCCCAGCTGGGGCAGGGGACACCTGGTGGGACACCCGTGCCCACAATGTCCCGTCCTCCCCAAGGCCTCCAGCCCTGCCCTTCAGCCAGCCAGGCAGGGACAGAGCAGCCCTTGGGGTCAATCCTGCAGGGAAGCTGCCCCAGCCCTGCAGAGGTGCCATGGTCTCTCTCCCCTCCAGCATGCCAGCTGTGTGGACGATCAGAGGCTGACCCGGACGCGTGGAGAAAAAATCCAGATAAATGGGCTCTGTTTCCACGAGTTCTGCCGGGTGAGTTGCTTCATGTTTTGACAGGCAGTCCCTGCCACTCTCTCCTCATCAGTACGTGTCCTTTTTTCTACAGGTTTTTGCCAGCCACCTTCCTCTGCACAATGATGATCAAGTAGGATTCCAGGGCTTTCTCCCAAGGGATATCCTAGATGTAGTCTCCCGGGAAGCACAGAAGGTGAGAGCCTGAGAAGAGCAGGGAGATTTGTGCCAGGCGAGGTTTGCTGGAGCTTAGCCCTGACCCCAAGCAAGAAAGCCCAGCCCTTCCAACCAGCTCTGGGACAAGGAGGAGGCCCTGAGGCTGCTGCTGATGGGGCTGCTCTGCTCTTTCCAGAGCTGCTGCATCTGTGGCCAGAGCGGGGCCACCATCTCCTGCTGGGAAACAGTCTGTGACCTGAGCTTCCACCTGCCCTGTGCCAAGCAGGGACACTGTGTCACCCAGTTCATTCCACCGTACAGGTACCTCCTGTCTCCTTCTCACCACCACCAGGGAAGGGCCCAGCACTTCTCAGCTCACCCACCCCTTTTCCCCCCAGCTCCTACTGCCCCGCACACAGCCCAGAGCAGGCAGTGGAGGTGACTCCAGAGCCAGGCACAAACAGAGACATCCTGCAAGCGAAACCACTTCTGGCAGCAATATCAGACCCCCAATACACAGAGCCAGTCCAGAAGTCATCGTGACAGGAGCCACGTGAGATCACCAAGGGCTGGGAGGTGCAACAGCGGCCAGGAAGAATCGAGGACATCCCAAAGGCAAAACCAGCAACGTCAGACTCCAAATTAATGCAGCCAATCTAGAAGTTGCCGTGACAGGAGCCGTGTGGCAGCCCCAAGTGCTGGGAGATGCACCCCCATCCAGGAAGCATCAAGAACATCACAGACGTGAAACTGGTTCTGTCAGCAACTTATCAAATCCCTTCAATAAATGTATAGGACTGCTTTTTAAAATATTTTTGTGTATTTGCAAAATTATGCAAATGGCACTTTCGATGTCGCAGTGTTTAGTAGATTGTTTCATCCTAATGTTTCACCTGACACAGTGGAGGCTATTGCAAAGCCCAAGGCTCAGTAGTATCTTTGCGCAGGTTTCCCTTTCCTCCCCCTTGGCTTTTGGCACAGCTTTCCTTTCCTTCCTATTCTATGGTTTCCCCTTGGTGTTGCAAGGGAGACGTTTGGAATGTTTTGCAATCCAGCGGTGCCACCGCCTCGATGCACTGAAGGCAGGGAAGCAGTGGCGGGGTGTTGGCAGCCCCGTCCTGTCCCTGCTGCCGGCGGCCCGGGGGCAGGAGCGCCCCGGCGGTGCCATGGCGGGTTCCCCTCAGGTGCGGGCAGCCGCAGCCCGGCTGTGCGGGGCGGCCCCGGCGGTGCCATGGCGGGTTCCCCTCAGGGCGGCCCCGCTGCCCGCGCACGGCGGTGTTGCCGGGGCAGCCTCGTCCCGCAGGCACATCTGTGCGCTGTGACCCAGCGGCGACCGCTTCCCGCTCTAAGAGCCCGCAGGAATGGCTGCCTGGCTCCAAACTGCCCGCCGGGAGCGCGCTGGGATCGCAGGGGGAGCTCTGCCCGGGGCAGCCCCCGCACTCAGTCGCCCCGAGCCTTCCCGCCCTCCCCGCACACGGCGGCGCTTTGGGAACGGCCGCGGTCGGCGCTGGAGTGGCGGCGCTCGGGCTCGAGGGAGCGCCGCGAGCCCGGGAAAGCGTCGGGAACATTCTGGCACCGAGGGGAGCGCGGGCGCGGAACTTGGGCACCCAGACGATCGCGGGTCCCAGCGGGGGAGGGTCCCGAGGGTCCCGCCCAATGGAGCGCAGGAGAGGACGGCGAGCGGCGAGTGCCGCGGGTTGGGCTTCGCTGCCCTGGAGGCAAAAACTGCACCGTGCGCCATCCAGAGGTTATCCATCGACCTTTCCCCAAACCTGCCGAGTGGGACAGGACATCAGAGCTGCGCCCTGCCCAGAGCCCAGGAAAGAAACCTCATCCCTTCCAACCAGCTCCAGGAAAAACATCCGGCTCCCAGCAGCTCCACAGAGGCTCCAGCACAGGAGCCTTGTCCCCCAGACACATCTGTGGGCCGAGCCCTACCCAGAGCCCTGGGGCTGCCTGTGGAAGCCCCGAGGCTGTGGGATTTGCACGGGGTGGCCTTTAAAGGGCTCTCCCAACCCCAAGCCTTCTACCCTTCTACGGCTCTAATCTGCGCTGCAGTGTGGTGCTTACACAAGGGGCAGCTATGCCCTGTGCTGGTTTAAAATCTGCCTGCCAGCCTGAATTCAGGCAGCGAGACAAAGACCCAGCTACCGGATTTTTTTGCTATTCACTAGGTGCCTCTGTGCCCAAAGCTTCAGCCTTCCCAGGACTCGCTGGACAGCAACAGAGCCTTGTGGTGCCTCAGCCACTCCTCCCAGTCCATATCATCAGCAAACATGCTGAGGGTGCTCTCCGTCCCTTCTGCCAGGTCACCGGGCAACCGGTCAAAGGAGGCTGGCCCCAGCACTGAGCGCCGCGCTCACAACCCTCTGAGCTCTGCCATTCAGCCAGGTCTCAACCCCCTCAGTGTCCACTCATCTAAGCCACACTTCCTGAGCTGTCTGTGAGGGTGTTCTGGGAGGCAGGGTGAAAAGCCTTGCTGAAGTCATGGCAGACAACAGGCACTGCTCTCCCCTCATGTACCCAGCTAGTCACCCCAGCAGAGAAGGCTAGGAGACTGGTCAAGCATGATTTGCCCTTCCTTTTATTCCACAGGCTTAGAGATGACATGCAGCATGAGCTGTTCTGTCCCCTTTCTGGGGATGGAGGTGACACTGATGGGCCCATCATTTCCTGGGTCCATCTTGCTGCCCTTTTTGAAGACTGCAGTGATGTCGGCTTTCCTGCAGTCCTCAGGCACCTCTGCTGGGGAATCAGCGTCCCTGATGTGCTGGCAGTGTTCCCTGGGCCAGGGGCAGGAGCAGAGATCTGCCTTGGCCAGGGCCGGAGCCCTGGAGTGGCACTGCCTGAACAGCACTTTTTGTGCAACAGTGGCTGCCCAAGAGTCCTCGGTGGCTGCCCCAGGGCCTGGCATTTGAGCCTGCGCTTGCTGCAGCAGCAGCCGCCCCGGCTCTGTGCTTACCGAGGGCTTGGGACCCGCCTCGGAACCTCGGTTACCAAGGGGCTGCCTCACAGTGGGGGGGGTGGGCTGGGGCCATCCCTGCCCGTATTTCAGGTGCAGGATGCTGATGTCACAGTGGCCACTGTGACCCGTGAGGCCAAGGGCACAAAACGGGACTCTGGGCTCAGGCCCAGTGTCAGTGTTACCTGACAACGAGAGGAGAAGGAAGAGGAGGGACAGCCCTTCTTTTGCAAACGCCTCTCGCTTCTTTTGCACAGAGAGTGTAGGAGCACCTGGAGGAGACCTCAGTGTTCCTCAACCAGACAACAGAAAGAGACGGCAGAGAGAGACCGGGCTCACACAGGGCTGACCAGCGAGTCAGGGGGCTCTACGCCTCAGGGCTCTGGCCCTGTGTTGCAGACTCGTCTCACTTCTGCCTCAGACCCAGTGGAGGAGCACCTGGAGGAGACCTTGGTGTTCCTCAACCAGACGACAGAAAGAGACGGCAGAGAGAGACCGGGCTCACACAGGGCTGACCAGCGAGTCAGGGGGCTCTACGCCTCAGGGCTCTGGCCCTGTGTTGCAAACTCGTCTCACATCTGCCTCAGAACCAGTGGAGGAGCACCTGAAGGAGACCTCGGTGTTCCAAGGACAGAGACCCACC